TGGATAGAGCACCGGCCCTAAAGTCAGGAGGACCTGAGTTCAAATTCAGCCTCAGACACTTGATATTTCCTAGCCGTGTGACCCTGGGCAAGTCACCTAACCCCAATTTCCTAAAAAAAAAAAAAAGTTTTAATTCCATGAAAGATACAGAGAATAAAGGACTAAATAAATACAAGGGCCATGGGTCAAAGAATTAAACCCTAGACAGAAAGGGACAATAAACAATGAGGAAAATAAGGGAAAGCATTTTTAACAAAAAGGTACAGAAATAAAATTATAAAAACTAACAAACAAGTTTAAGTGAAAGAAAGGAAAGGGGATTGTACTTGACTACTTAAATGAGAGGGAAATAGAGGACAAGAATTAAATAACTAAATAAAAGCAAACAAGAAAAAAGAACTAATAAGAAAAACCCCAAAACTATGGAACAGGATTACAAATAGGACAGGAAGAAATGTGACACTGAAGGGACCAGAGCCAATGGGAATGGGGTTGTCTTAAAACTGGTTAAGCTAAAATAGCTAAAGAAACATAATATCATGTTTACAGAGGAAGGTGGGGGATCCTAATTTGGGGGGAAACATTAGAAACAAATGGAGAAAAATATAAACCTAACTCTCATAAATTTAAATGTGAATGAATTAAACAATCCAATAAAACAAAAAAGAGAGATTGGATAAGAAAAGTAAATGCCACAATTTGTTGCTTATAAGAAAACATTTTAAAAAACAAAGATATATACGGAATAATAATGAGAGTCCAGAAAATTTTTTACTATGCATTAAGTGAATCCCAAAAAGTAGGAGTTACAATCATGCTATCAGCCAATGAAAAAGAAAAAAAAATAAACATTCAAAACATAAAAAGGATAAACAAGGAAACTATATTGTGCTGAAAGGAACTACTTACAATGAGCCAATATTAATATTAAACTTATATGCTCCAAATGCCTCAGCAGAAAAAAGTAAATATATCACTTATAGTCCATAATGCCGAAAAACTAGTTATTAGTTATGCAAGCATAAACAAAAGATACAGACTCAAATGGAAACTTAACAATAAAATCTTAAGTAACGAATGGGTCAAAGAACAAATCAAAGAAAACGATAATTATGTGATAGGAAATTATGCTGATGGAACAACATGCTAAAATTTCTGGGATATCCTCAAGAGGAAAAAAAATCGTATCCCTACAAACATGCATTCATGAAACAGAAAAAAGAAGGATCAATGAAACGCATTTTTAAAATTAGAAAGCCACCAAATAAAAAACCTAAAATAAACTGGGAAATCCTCTTCCTCCCCCCAAAAAAATATAGAAATGATATATAGAACTAAAAGCTAGTTCTTTGAAAAGACTAACAAAATTGATAAACCTGATTTTTAAAAAGAAAGAAAAAATCAAATCAACAAAATAGCAAATAAACAAGATAAAAATCACAACAAAAGTGTCTTTCATGAGTTGCTATGACCAAGAAATTCATCTCCAAGTTAACAATCTAACGACGGTAAGCCTTTCCATACTTGGCCAACCTGATCTTCAGAAAGTAGTTTATATTCTGTTGGCCAGACCTTGCTCAAAGCTTTTCCAGCACAGTAGAACCAGTCAGATAGCTAGGATCACCTCCATGGCATGATGAGGGATCACAGTAGGACTACATAGAAATTTCATAATAGCAGACTTTGAAGAAGGAATTACAAGCTCAAAAAGTTGTGCCAGATACCTTGAAAATAAAATGGAGCCAAATCTGTAATCAGGAAGCAATAACTTGAAAACATTCAAATTTAGAACTACAACTAAGGAAGGAGAAAATCAAATGCTTTTAATATAACTAAAATCTATATTTGATACTAACAATTTTTTTCACAACAGGTCAATGTTTAACCTATATTTTAATAGGAGTAACACAAATTCACACTCTGAAGTTCTCATTCTCATTGGGAAAACACAGTCTTGTGAATGGATGGACTCAGACACTACAACACCATGGGCCCTAGAAATGGGCACTCAGCCATGGCCCACAATCCTAGGTGGGAACAGACTACACAAGTCCTTGGGACAAAATACTGTTTAAAATCCAACTGTCTTTCCAAAATATTCCCAAAGGACAAAGACAAACAGGAAACCACTGAACACGCTTCCATCTTGGAAAAGCTGAAACTGTGGATTCTATTTAGCATTAAACCATTTCTAGAACCATTTCAGAAAGGAGTACACAGTAAAGAAAGATTTCAAGAAAGCATATGAAAGTAAAGTAATTCATCCATTGGTAAGAAATAAGAGAATCCAAGGACATAATTTTCCTTACAAAATCCTGAGAGGAATAAACTGCTTAAATCTCACTCATCAGCTTTGAATATTACTGCCCTGAGCAACCACGTGGTATATGTGTGTATGTGTGAGTGGCAGCCTAGCTGTGTGTATTCAGATAAGACTGAGGTAAAAACAAGAGGCCATCAATAACAGTTTTTTTTTTCCTTAAATCTTAAAAGGAAAAAAAAAAAGGAAATGGGGGCAGGGAGGACCACTCTGTTTGGCTTAATTCAATCTTAATGTTGAATCAAGACTAGAATTTAATAAATAAGACAACCCAGGATAAAAGGCTTTGAAAAGAATCTTCAGAAATCCTCTGGTACATCCTTTAAACTCTAAGCAAAACTAGGTAAATATCCCTTGGTAGGTAAGTTTCCACAGCGGCTCTTTACACCTTTTCATTCCTCTTCAAACATCCCATGGCTCCCCCTCCGTCCACCTTCTTAGCTGAAAACTTGAGAACCTCATATTTTACGAAAAAAAAGGGAGGCCATTCACCAAGAACTCCCTCTCCTCCTTGTTTCCTCAACTCCTATCACTCAGATGCCTTCCCCACTCTGTTCTCCACCTCCGTCTTACATGATGAGGTGGCCCTTCTCCTTACTGAGATAAATGACTCTACCTACCCAAGTGACCCCATTCCATCTATCTCCCCCAGCAGACTGCCCCCTCTGTCATCCCCTCTCCTTCACTTATTTTCAATCTCCTTGTCTACTGGCTCCTTCCCTCCCACCTACAAACATCCCTCTGTCTCCCTTGATCTTTCCAGCCCTTCTATTTCTTCTACCCTTTGGGATGACCATCTCTACGTTAATGATTTACCAATCTCTTTACCCAACCCTAACCTCCCAGCTGACTTCCAGTCTTCCATCTTCAACTTCCTTTGGGACATCTCAAACTAGACGTCTAGTGGACCCCTTAAAGGTGCTATGTCTAAAACTGACCTCATTATCTTTCCACCTAAACCCTCTCTGCTCCCCAATTTCCATACTACTGTCAAGGGCATCCTCCCAGTCTCTAAGGTTAACCTACGAGGCATCCTGGACTCCTCACTCTCTCTCACCCCACTCCCACCCCCGTATCCAAGCTGTTGCCACGGCCTGTTGACTTTACCTTCGTAGCATCTCTCGCACACATCCCCTTCTCTCCTCTGAAACTGCCCCTACCTGGTACAGGCCCAACTTGATTATTGCCATAGTCTGCTGGTGTGCCTGCATGCCTCAAGTCTCTCTCTTCCTGTTCTAGTTCATCCTCCATTCAGCCACCAAAGTGATTTTCCTAAAGCACCCATCTGACCAAATCATGCCCCTACTCAATCAATTCCAGCGGCTCCCTATCGCCTCCAAGATCAAACTTAAAATCCTGTTTGCTGTTCAAAGCCCTTCATAACTTGGCCCTAAGAACTATTCTTACACCTTACTCCCTGCCATGTAATCTTCGATCCAGTGACCCTGGTCTCCTGACTGTTCCTTGAACATGACCCTTCATCTCCCAACTCTGAGTCAGTTTTCTCTGCCTGTACCCCATGCCTGGAACACTTTCCCTCCTCATCCTTACCCCCTGGTTCCTCTGGCTTCCTTTAAGTTTCAACTAACACACCTCCTATAGGAAGCCTTTCCAAACTCTTCTTAATTCTAGTGCCTTTCCTCTGCTGATTATTTCCTGTTTGTTCTTTATATTGGGCAACTAGGTGGTTCAGTAGATAGAGTGCCAGGCCTGGAGTCAGAAAGACCCCATCTTCCTGAGTTCAAATCTGGCCTCAGACACTTACGAGCTGTGTGACCCTGGGCAAGTCACTTAACCCTGTTTGCCTCAATTTCCTCATCTGTCAAATGAGCTGGAGAAGGAAATGGCAAATAATTCCAGTATCTCTGTCAAGAAAACCCCAAATAGGGTCACGAAGGGTCAGAAACAACTGAACAAAAATGCTATATATCGGGGCAGCTAGATAGAGCACCAGCCGTGGAGTCAGGAGGACCTGAGTTCAAATCCGACCTCAGACACTTACTAGCTGTGTGACCCTGGACAAGTCACGTAACCCCAATTGCCTAAAATTAATTAATTGATTTTTTAAAAAAGAAAGAAAAGAAAAATTGTTTAAAAAAAATGCTGTATATTGCTTGTTCATACATAGTTGTTTGCATGTTCTTTGTATATCCACTTCTTAGCACAGTGCTTGGCATATAGCAGGAGCTAAAGAAATGTTATTAACTGTCTGACTATTCTTAAAAGTCTCCTGAAAAGAGAATCCCAGGCCTCTTCCCATGTCTCCCAACCTGAGAAGCCTGAAAAGTCTCCGTCACATCTGATTTGAAATCCTCTTAATGCAAAGGGAATTCATTCTTTACGGTCATGAAGGCAGAACTGTAAATCTGCCTGTTATAAATGAAATTTTGAAAAACAATTTAAAATTTTCACTTCTAGTGAAGACATCTAATTAAAGAAACATATCTAAAGGCTTTTTATAGACATGAACAATCTGATATAGTTCCAACTGCACTTGTCTCTTAAAGAAAACTGCCTTTTAAAAATGAGACTGCACACTCCTTGAGGCCAGGAATTATGTCTGCTCTACTTTATTTCCTTGGCACCCTCCGCAGAACCTGGCATGGGACCACGGCACCTGTACACATTTGGCAAATGGAGGCAAACTGAGGTAAAAGAAGCTTATTAAGCCTTTTCTTACACTAATGCTGCCTTCCTCTTCCTCTTCATCACAGTCTAGGCCTTGATGGGAGATCTCAGTGATGCTATTCTCCAGAAGCAGACTGCTGCCCAGATTCGCCACCCTCTGACTCTCAGTCATGATTTTCACTTTGACGTTGTGAAAATTGGTGGAAACAAAGCCTAACTTCAGGCTGACGGGATCTCCCTCAAACAGCAGGCCCTGGGCACTTTCCCCTTCCTTGAAACCAGGGGGCTGGTACTCGTTGGGTGTTACTGCAAAGTGAAATGAGAAAACAATCAGTAGAGCAAGGGTGGGCTGCAGCAGGGCCATTGGCCTTAACTTTCAGGACGCTGCACCAGACTCCTCATATCTGACTACAAGAACTTTCCAGGAAAGGAAACTGCCTACCTTCGTTGTAGTAGTAGAGTTTCATGGTCAGTGTGATGTCACTGGGAAGAGGGCTGAGATTCTGCATTAGAACGTACAACTTGCGGATGATGAGGGTACTGGCTTTCTTGATCTCCTCACTAGTTCTCCCACTCTCAAAGCTGGTACTAGTGCTACAATCAGAGCAGTAGAGCAAGGGGGTGAGACTCAGAAACAGGAAATGTTGGCATTCACTTCCAAGAGGAAGTCATTTTTGCTATGGGACAGAGGACTTATAAATAAGATAGTGAGATTTAAAAAAAAAAAGCAATATTGAGGTAATTATTCTCTTTATTGGGGATTTTTTTGCTTTAGAAAAGGATTAGGACTGACTTCCCCTCCTTTCCCACCCAGCTGCCCTCATTTTGGATTTCTTTGACTTCTCTACAATACCCACCTCCCACCTTTTCAGTTTTCTTTTGTGTGTGGTCTTCCCTTCTTAGACTGTAAGCTCCTCGAGGGCAGGAACTGTCTTTCTTTTTTGCATTTGTATCCTTATACTTACACACTTATATACTTATACACTTAGCAGAAGCCCTAGCATATAGTAGGCATTAATAAAAATTTACTGACTCAACTTATTTAAATAGCAAGGACCCTTACATATTTGAAATATAACTTGATTTTTAAATATTTTCTTTATATGTTCCATTGAGGTTCCTACTGAGAGTATATGCTGTGGTGGGTGTTTATGGGAAGATGTAGGCCAGGGCCCCTACAGGATGGACTGGGTTGCAATCTACACTGTTGGAAGGAGTCCCACACTTAGGAAGGAGTACTAAGGTCCATTGCAGTGTAGGATTGACTACGGTCAAGCGGAAAGAACCTCAGACTGGTAATCTGGGGCCCCACATTCTAGTCCTTCTTCACTGACTAGACTCTTTGGGTTTCAGCTTCCTTGTCTGTAAAATGAGAGCATTGGATTGGATGATTTTTTGAGGCCTCTTGCAGATTTAAAGTGCCATGATTCTATGACGTCCCTCCAGGGTTTACTTCTCCAATTATGTTCAGACTTCTATAACTTTTGGGCAAGGCAACTCCTGCAGTAATTGGTTCACTTAGAAAGGCCCCTTCCAGGAACAACAACAAATATGGAACTCCGTCTATCAGAAGCCGCCTATGTGAACCCTGGCAGCCTGAGAAGGTTGCATCTGTGACCCACTGCATACCTCCAGTACCACTAAGGAAGGAAGATAAAGGCCAGATCGTCACTGCATTTCTCTACTGAGAGAGTTATATTTAAGAACCGATAATGCAAATGCAAACAAGTAACCACCTAATTCAAATTACAACCTTGGCTTCTAGAAAATTACCAATAAGCCCTAATTTTCCCTTCCCCATCAAAGTTAGAATATTACTGCTTCCCTGATTACATCAGCAGAAGATCAGAGAACCTGAGAATTTCAGGGTTGGAAGGCACCCTGGGAAAGGTCTTTCTAAAACAACCCTGACCAGCATGCAATCTCTGCTAAACCACCTCTGCTATCGATGCACACTTAAAGAAAGAGAGGAAGGTTTACGGCACATTGAGAGTGTGCCAATACATCCAAGTTGGACTACATGGCCTCCAATTCTGAGATGCCCAGATCCTGTGATTCATGGGAAAGAATCTATACAAGCAGAGGAAGTAGCTGATAAGATCACAGATTTCTCCAAGTATAAAATCTAAACAATTATCGGTGAGTAAGTGTGTTTGTTATATACCAACACAGTTAAACAATTATTTTATTGAATGCCTACAATGTGTTCACGGTACTTCTGAATGCACTGTGGGAGTAAAAAAAGAAGGGTGTGACTTGTCCCTTGTTCTCAAAGAGCTTCTATTTGCATCAGTCACATCTGTTTCTTACTTGACTTTGGGATCTCAGGTGTAGTGGTAGCCGGCCCTTCCCTCCCCCATGGAGCATGCCCAGAGTCATCGATCCCCTGGAAGCTTGGGGTGGAGGGCACCTGCTCCACAAGGATGTTCGATTACATATCTGTGGGTACTCCCTCCACTTACACTACAACTCCACTCTAACTTAGATGGTATTTTGGAATGGCTGTGAATGAAAACTCCACCAGCCTGTGGGCATCCGAGTAGGTTAGTAACCTCTCCAACTTAGCAGCACCTGTCCCTGCTTGTGCCCTGTGGGCAGAATCTTCAAGAACCATGATGGGCTGCAACACTGGAGGATGCAAAGAGAGAATGTCTCTCCTGGATCTCATCCATCCCTGCCAGAGAATGAGGATATTTGAGTCTGATTACAATTATTTTAATTAAATGTTTAAAATGAGGGTCTACCTGACAAAATCCATTCGGGGTCCTTCCTTTGTGTACCGGAATTTGAACTGATATAACTCTGTGACTTTCTAGAAACGTCAAAGAAAACAGATGAACAGATTGTTTCAGAAAAGATCTGCAGAAACCAAAGACACCAACTATATTGAAACACCATTATAAAAATATTAAAAAATACAACCCAAGCTCACAAATCCCCAAGTTAAGAGCTCCTGCTCTAGAGGAAGGCTTCCTGCTCTGCGGTGGGTTTATGGGAGGACAAGGCCAAGAGTCACCCAGGTGAGGCAGGCGTGGATACGCAACATTTCAGCCATGAAACTGATAACATCCCAAATCCATGGAGGTGTGTGTTTCTTTCATTAGAATGTTAGGTCTCTGCAACTAGGGATCAACTTCATTTTTTGCATTTGTTTCTCCATCACCTAGCATAAATCACAGTAGGTACTTAACAATTACTTGTTGATAGATTTTCGATTGACTATTTCCCACGAGAGTTGGCTAAGTTTTCTTACTTATATGTTTGTTTCACAATATTATATGATTCAGAAATAATATTTTCTGAGATTTGAGGTGCCAGCCTTGCGGAGGTGAGAAAACAGGTAAAAGGAAGCTGGAGGCTTTTCTTGACTATTGTCAGAGGCAGACTGTTGGGTTGGGCCCAGGAATGTTTCATGTATTCTATTCCTACCTCCCTTAATACCATAAATTTTGTGGACAGACAGCATCAAATTTTTGGAGATAAATACTTGCTTCAATCAGACACTATAATACTTTCAATACACCCTATTTCTACTTAAAGAATTTCCATATTCCCCAATTTCTTAATAGTGTGAAGGTTAGGTAGGAATGGTAGACCAGGATCAAGGAAGCACCAATGTCTATTGGTCTGAGCACATTACAACATTAGTTTGAGAAGAGAACTTGGCATTGCAGCATTCCTTTTCTGGTTCCCCACCAATTACTGGACTTTCTATGCCTTAGTGTCTCTGACTAATTAAAATCTTGGTTATATGAGTTGCTACTCATGGGGGCAGAGGTAATTTACTACAAGGGCTCACTGAGTTGAAGTCTTTAAAGAACCGTCTCCGATAACTCCCAAATACTTTTCCTGGGATATAAGTGAGAGTTTCCACCACATTCCATTATAAGAACGGTCGGGCACCCTTTTCCGGGCATCACTCTGTATTGCCCCCTCATTTGATACTTTTCTGCCTGTTTTATAAGATTTTCCTTTAGTTCTTCACCATTATTAACTTAACACTTCAGCACCCCAGGCCCCCGGTTTTAAACCAAGCACCTATCATGTGTTAGACACATGATAACCACTGCTGAAGGAAACCACTGCCTGACTCAGTGATAGACAATCAGAAAGTTTTGGTCTGGAAAACCTCAAAACTGCAAAAACCAAACTTGTGAAATTCATCTACAAATAAAGGTAGAAAGCAGTAAAACTGGTTTGTGCATCTTGGATGCCTGTGCCTGGGCAAATTAGTTTCCCCCTGCCAGAGCTCCTGCACATCATCTTGAAGACCCAGGACTCGGCTCTAGGCTGCTGTTCCTGCTGACCGTCAATGACTTGTCGAGACAGCACGCTTTTCCAGTTGGGGGCTGGCACCAAGCTGGCAGGGCTAGCTAACACCACCCCTGCGTGGCAGCTTCAGGATCCGCAAAAGCCTCAACAGGCTGGACCTTCAAGAAGTAGAATCTGGAGGGCCCCCACAGGGACTCAAAGCAATTTCCTTTCCAAAATCAAGATGGGGTAGAGAGACGTGGCTGAAAAGCAGTTCCTAGGAAAATGATCTGTAGGTTTTGAGAGCTGCCTGGGGAGCTCAGATGTGAATGGACTTGCCCAGGGCACACAGCTGGTATGTGTCAAAGGCAAGACTTTAATCCAACCCTTCATAACTCCCCAATGACCCTCTATCCCCTATACCAAGCCAACTGTCTGGCAAAGACAGGAAAAGATGGAAACCATCAGTGTGTTGGGTGGTGGGGGAAAGGGGGTAGGAAGATAGGCATATTAACATTTTATCTATGGAGTGTTGAATTAATTGAGCCAAGCTTTCTGGAAAGTAATTTGGAATTATGCAAGA